TACAATCTGGGACCTGGCTACCTCATGATGTTGCCTGTTCTTATCATTTTCTGTCGTTCACTAGTGTCCATTCTTGAGGGCTGAGCCTCTTTGTTAGTCCTTGGATATACCAAGCTTGCCTGCTTTATTCAATTTGCTTTCCTGTTCCTTATGCTCTGCGTGTATATGGTTCACTGCTGTAAACTTCAAAATGGTCATTCCTCTCAAGGTCTGTACCTTCCTTCCCATGATCTCTTTTCTCTCTGGTGGACATCTGTACAATCCGACTTTTCTACCTCCCCCATTAGAGGAAGTTCCAGGAGAGTTTTAAACACCCATGTCTTCAGTGCCCAGAGCAGAGTCTGGCATACAGGTACTGATTAAACATTGTGTGTGCAAACACACACACACACACATACACACACACACACACACACACACACACACACACACTCATACACATACCAATGAATGCTGTAGTGCATGTGTGAATATCAGAAGACAACTTGTGGGAGTTGGCTCTCTCCTTCTGTCATTCAGATCTCAGAGATCAAACTCAAATTATCAGGCTTAGGGCAAGGGTCTTTATCTACTAAGCTGTCTTGCTGGCCCAGGTACTAACTTTAACAAGAAAAGTTGAATAATTATAGATAAATCCAACTGGCTACCCTACCACTGTGCCAGTCACTATACCTGGACTATCACCATCTATAATTGTTAAATGATCCGTGGTCTTTCTCTGTGGAGTCACACTGTAGTTAGTCATTTAATTTGAAAAGATCTTTTAATTCATTTGAAACCTTCAAAAGGTGTCAAGTGGCCAAAAGGTAACATTTATTGAGATTTGGTCACAGTAACATACGTAAGGCCAAATTAGACTCAGCTGGGGTGATCAAAAAGAGAAATGTCTAATGCCTGGATCTGGTGCTTATAGCTCATTCACACATGATAACGTTTCTGATGGTCACCAACAATACACGGATGAAAATAAATACAGTATGTGCACACTTCTTAAACAAGGTGTAATGGCCGAAAATGATCCATCTGACTCTGTGCAGGTGTGCAAATGGCTCTGATCCCCTGTTGCAACTTCCAAGGAGGCTTTAAGCTTAGGAAATACCCTAGTATTGATCCTTGATTCCTACGAAATTACATTTTTATAGAATATTATTTTAAGGTCTGTTAAATTCATTTATGCTCTGGAATGTTTGTTTAATAATACAAAGATGTATTGCATTCTTTTATGTTACATTTGTTTAACTCTTTGAAGCTGTGTTACTTTGCCTGTCTAAAACACCTGATTGGTCTGATAAAGAGCCGAATGGCCAATAGCAAGGCAGGAGAAAGGATAGACAGGGCTGGCAGGCAGAGAGAATAAATAGAAGGAGAAATCTGGGGAAAGGAGGATCAAGGAATGAGAAAAGGAGGAGAGGAGAAATTCAGGGGCCAGCCACCCAGCTACACAACCAGCTCGTGGAGCTCCGGGAGTCCACATGAAGAGAGGGAGGGAGGGATTATATAGGCCCTCTGCATATGGATGACAGTTGTGTAGCTTGGTCTGTTTGAGGGGCCCCTAGCAGTGGGACCAGGATCTGTCCCTGGTTCATGAGCTGGCTTTTTGGAACCTGTTCCCTATGATGGGATGCCTCCCTCAGCCTTGATGCAGGGGGGAGGAGCTTGGTCCTGCCTCAACTTGTTATGCCATGCTTTGTTGACTCCCATGGGAGGTCTTACCCTTTCTGAGGAATGGATTGGGGGTGGGTAGAAAGGAGGTTGAGGGAGGGAATGGGAGAGGAGGAAAGGGAAACTGTGGTTGGTGTGTAAATTTTTTTTTTTAAAAAGTAAAGAAAGGTACACAGAAGTAGAGAAAGATAAAAGCCCAAAGGCAAAAAGTAGTCGGGATAGTTTAAGTTAAGAAAAGCTGGCTAGAAATAAGCTAAGCTAAGGCCGGGCATTCATAAGAAAGAATAAGCCTCCCCGTGATTTATTTGGGAGTTGGGTGGTGGGCCACCAAAAGAACAAAGAGTATAAACAACCAACTATATTAGATGACTGACCTTCTGTGGATAAAGTTTTTAATTGGTCTCTGGGGGAAAATCAGAGGTTAGTCCACCTGTGAAACAAGAGTCAGGTACTATTTAGAAATTGTGCCATGCCGGATGTGGTGCACACCTTTAGTCCCAGCACTCGGGAGGCAGAGACAGGCAGAGCTCTGTGAGTTTGTGGCTAGTCTGGTCTACAGAGTGAGTTCCAGGACAGCCAGGGCTGTTACACAGAGAAACCCTGTCTCAAAAAACAACAACAAAATGAAACAAACAAAAATAAAAAACACCCTCCCCCTAAAAAAGAAAATAATTATATCAATGACCCAAAGAATAAGCTCAAGTGTCCTATAAGGGACCTGATTACTTGTCTTTCATGATGAATCATGCATGGACCAGGTCCAGTTGCTTGTGTCAACACAGAATAAGGGAAGGGATGTAGCTCAGTGGGTAGGGTGTGTGCTTTGCGTGTATGAAATCCAGGGATTATTTTTTATTTTAATTTTTTCCCTCGTACAATACATCCTGATCACAGCTTCCCCTTCCTCTGCTCCTTTCAGTTCCCCCCTCTCATCTCCCTCAGATTCATTCCCACACCCCATCTCCTCCCAGAAAAGAACTGGCCTCCCAAGACATTAACTGAACAGGGCACAGCGAGATACAACAAGACCAGGCACCAAACCTCATATCAAGGCTGGGCAAGGCAGCCCAGTAGGAGGAAAGGGGTCCCAAGAGCAGGCAAAAGAGTCAGGGACACCCCCACACCCACTGTCAGGAGTCCCCCAAACACCAAGCCAACAACCATAACATATATGCAGAGGACCTAGTGCAGCCCCATGCCGCTCTGCGACTGCTGCTCCGGTGTCTGTGAGCCTACACAAGTACTGTTAGTTAATTCCTACAATTCCTCCTCTCCCTCTTCTGCAGGGTTTTCTGAACTCCAAGGGGAGGGACCCAATGCAGACCTCCAAACTGGGCTCTCTCTTAGCCTAACATCAGCTGTGGGTCTCGGCATCTACTCCCGTCATGTGCAGAGATGGTTTCTCTGACGATGCCTGAGGCATCAATCTATGAGTATGGCAGACCATTGTTAGGAATCATTTCATTGGGTGTTTTTGTTTGGTTTTGGTTTTTGGCCAGTCAGGTTTGGTTCTGTCCTAGTCTCTGGAAGCCCTGGGATTGTATTCTGAGCACTGCCTCAAGCAGGCACCATGGTCCTTGTTTGTAATCCCAACACTATGGAGGTGGATGCGGAAGGATCAGTAGTTCAAAGTCATCCTGTAAGTATAAGGCCAGCCTGAGATACATGAGATTTATCCAAAAAAGACAAGTAGGAAATACACTTGATCATTTATAAGTGTCTGGCATCTTGACATTTAGGATCATAGCTTATAAATTTGTAAAACTCAGTATTAATTTACTTTAGGTGCCCTTACTCTGTGAGTACACAGCACAGGAAAGCCTGCCCCAACACTACTAACATCAATTTATCACTTAAAAGTGGGAGCTTCAATGACTGAGATGTGACTTTAGAAGGATCTTTATTTTAGGAAAAGACATTAAAATTTAGGAATAAAGCCTTAAACACATTCTAGACAGATTTCTGGGATCCGAATTACATGGAATTATGCCAGTGGCTTGATCATGATAGAACTCATCTCAAGAACTACTAAAGTGAGAGCTTTTAAAGTCTTAAAAATCCTTAGTGTGATTTATTTTATAGTCATAGACTTCTAAGAGGGAAGAATGTTAGATAAACCACATGGGAACTAGAGTAGTGTTCACAATAACATATACACAGTAGTGCATGACAGTGTCCCTGTACACAGTAGTGCATGACAGTGTCCCTGTACACAGTAGCGCATGACGGTGTCTAGAAGAAGGGCTAAGTTTGGTTCCAAGGCATTTGCTTTAGCTGAGGGCTAGGCCAAATTTCTCAGTGGGCTTTAGGTTTATTCTAAAAGGTCACTTCTGTTGCTTAAAAACTCTAACTTCTCACATAAAAATGTAATTCAGAATCCACGGACAAGGCTCACCTAGCCACTAATATCACTTTCAAAGCAGTCAGTTACCAGCCTCAACCACCACCAACTTTCACAGGAGCTGGTGAAATCTGTGTCCAAATATGGTGAACATTCCTCTATTGCCAAAATGGGAAAAACAGCCTTATCTCCTCATCAAAAGCCATCCACCAGGAAATCAGCTTCACTGTTTAGTACCCAAATAGACGAAAAGCACATTTCATGTGCAGCTCCTGGGAGGCTTGTCCCAGTGCCAACTTGCGGACCTCCAGTAAACATGAAATCATAGCTCTTGATAACGTCGACATCTTTCTAGAAATGCTCTAGGCAGAACTTGCCCAGTTAGGGGAAAGGTGATTTTATTCGTGCATATGGAGCTAAGTAGGGCTTGTGCTTCTGCACTTCATATCGGAGACTGAATTCTTCCTCCTCTGTATTCTCACACCAGAAAGTTTGTGCACGAGTGTGTGTGTATGCTTGCACATGTACTTTACAAATGCACACAGAGCTACAGGTGTCTCCCAGGCGACTTAGTCTGGGGTTACAGGTGGCCCCTCGAGGCTGTCTTGCCTAAGTCTGGCACACAATCGCCTGGAGAAGGACTCTGGTTTAGCCTGCTCTGGGATACCCAACCCTACTATATGCGCGCGTGTCTCAATGCCACTACCGAAGCTCTAGAAACTTCAGCAAGGACCCGTGGGTGGCCCCTCAGCCAGCCTACACAAAAACCTGCAGCATCTGGGTTCCCCTCTTGTCTCTAAATCTCCGGGATCACTGTGGACCAGAGGTGTCTGTCATTGCTCCTCCGGGAGAGGGCAAGGCACGGACAGGCTCCCAGAGCCGGCTCCAGCCCACAGAATCCATCTCTTCCTGGACTAGGTAACTAAACCCAGACCAGCGTGGGCGAAGGCAGGGCAAGATCCTCCCTTCTCACCTCGCGTGGTCCCTTCTTACTCACAGGGTCTGGGAGCCTCAGCCCAGTCGCCTTGAGCTGCAGCAACGTCCCCCGAGGCACTTTCGGCCCAGGCTGGGCATCGCGGCTGGGCCACCCCCACCCCGGCTCGGTGGCGCTCTGGGTTCCGAGCCCGGGAGGCTGGCTCCGAGGGCTCCCCCCTCCCCCCGTGCCCTGTCCTCCCTCCTTCTCCCCCGCTCCGTCCCCGCCCCGTCTCAGCCCGAGGCCACCCTGGGTCCCGGCAAGCGCTAGCTCCCGGGCCGGCTGCCCCCTCCCCTCTCCCCCACCCCGGGCGGGGGCGCGCGAGCAGCGGTGACGTCAAGGGGCGCGCGGTGGCAGCACCTCCCCGCGCGCTAGTTAAAAAGAAGAAGAAAAGAGGGAGCGAAACATGAGAGGCTGTGTGAGAAGCAGCAGCCGCCGGCAGAGGAGACCTCAGCATCCTCGGGAGCCCAGCACCGGCCCTGCCTCCGCCCGGCCCGCCGCCGCCGCCGCCGCCGCCGCCCTTTCGGTTCCTGCTACTGTCTCACCTAAACAACTCCCATTGAGCGGACAAGCGAAGTTCCATGACTGTCTTCTCCTATCCTTCCTCCTCCTCTTCCAACTCCTTCTCCTCCCACTTCCCAGCCGCTGCGGAAAGCCCCTAACCCAACTGACGCTGGCAAGGCTGCGGACAGTGTCATCTGCACTTTATCTCGCTGCTCCGGCTGCCCTAAGGCAAAGTTGCGTCGCTCTGCATCTTTCTCCCCCCTGCCACCTCCCTCCGCCTCTGGAGCGTCCCGCCGCCCCGCAGCACTCTCCTGGAGCTGCGCCCTAGTGCCCCTGCTGGGCAGTGGCCACCCCCCACCCCCATCCTCCCGCGCCCTGCCACTGCTGCTCCGGGTAGACGATGCTGAAGATGCTCTCCTTTAAGCTGCTACTGCTGGCCGTGGCTCTGGGCTTCTTTGAAGGAGATGCCAAGTTTGGGGAAAGGAGCGAAGGGAGCGGAGCGAGGAGGAGAAGGTGCCTGAATGGGAACCCCCCGAAGCGCCTGAAAAGGAGAGACAGGCGGATGATGTCCCAGCTGGAGCTGCTGAGTGGAGGAGAGATCCTGTGTGGTGGCTTCTACCCACGAGTATCCTGCTGCCTTCAGAGTGACAGCCCTGGGTTGGGGCGTCTGGAGAACAAGGTAGGCACTCGCAGATGTGCCTGGCTGAGATGCTGGTAGCTGCAAGAGAGACCAAACTCATTTCGATATAGTTCCTATAACTTTTCTAAGGTGAATAGGTGTTTGGGGTGTGTGTTCCTCAGCGGTGTGCAGATATCTCTCTCTCCCCTGGAGTCCGTTGTGGGGATGCTGGTCAAACTTTGCCTATCTCTAAAGAGACGTTTCTGTGGTACCCGCGCCCTGGGCTGGGTAAATATTTTTTAAAAATCGGGATTAACAGTATATTTTGGATCCAATCGAGCACTTGGTGAGGTAGAACTGTAAATTAGGGTAGCTGTGGTTTCCGGTTTACTTTTCTGGGGTAGAAAAGATTTGTTCCGTTTCTCCACGTGCTCTAACTAGTGAGTGGATTGGATTCTAAAGGCTATCAAGGCACTGTTGGTTTATGATCCCAAGCCCAGGCTGAGGGGTCTAGCTTGCATGACAATGGTTAAACCAGCGAAAGGAACTCCTGGTACGTTAAGAACTTGGAGATTTGGCTGGAGCCTCCTACTCAATGGTTTCTCTGTCTTGTAACGTTATAAATCCAGGTTTTCGCCGGGACAGCGTTGTCTAGGAAGATCTTCTTTAGAAACTCATTTTTATGAGTGATGACATATGCACTTCCCATGCGTTGATTAGTTTAGCCAAGAAGTGTCTGCCTGGTACAAGCCGTCGTTGGTCTTGATTCTGCATGAGATTTTTTTCCTGGGGATGCAGTGCTGTGTGCCGTCTGTGGGATCCTGTCATTAACAATCACTTCACGGGGATAGACAATCAGGTGTCTCTGCTCCCCCTGTCTTTGCCCATTTTAGGTTTAATTAAGAATTCCTCTGTTACAGCCCTGCAGTTGTCAAGGTCTGAGAGACTCGGAAGACTTGTGCTCCACTCTTGCTGGCCCAGGCATTAAAAAAAAATGCCCAGGCTGAATCTAATTTTTATGCTCAGTTCACGGTAGATTTCACCCTATTATCATGTAAACAGCTCCTGCGAATCAACATATGTGTCTGGGTGGTACCTCTCACTTTGTTTTGTAACAAAAAGCCATATTGCATCATTTAATTTGCTCAAGTCATGCAAATAGGAAAAAAATCAATAGGACAAAAAGGGTCGACTGCTCCTCCTCCCCACTACACTGCTGCCCACACACAGCGTCCTGTTGCTTATGGCCAAAGAATAACAACACCACCATTGTATTTGTTAGTTGGTTCACTAATGGGTGAAACTAGAGAACATCATTCTCTTTCAGTCCCCAGCTCTGTCCAAATGTTCATGCCTTTTGAGGGAGCGTTTGTCCAACCCGTTCTGTTCCCAGCTGAGTGAGAGGTGTCTTAGTGCGGGTCTCAGCTGCAGCTCACTCTCTATTCTTACCATATGCAGCAGTGGTCTGAGATGCGGGGAACAGATATTCCAGCATTTTATTCACAACAATGTCACTAAGCCCCAGCCTCCTAATTGAATGAAGCTACAGAAACAGCTCAGTCAGAGCATCTTAAAGGCTTCCCCAGGAGTCCCCACCCCCATCCCCAAGGGGAAACTCAGAGAAAGGTGTAGAAATATTTACTCACCATGAAGTGCCCCTGTGTGTAGAGTATGCTGTGAATATAACAAGGATCCAGAGACCCCTGCAGTACTGACCTCTTCCAGAAACATGTGAAATGCAAACTTTGTTCTTACTAACTGTAGTGGGGAAGGGAAGAAGGGCAGACTTAGGGGGCTTATAATCCTCAAGAGAAGATACATTAGAAAAAACTTAAAGAAAGCAATTTTTTAGGAAAGGTCTGCCATGTTAGCTGTGCACACTCCTGTCTAAGCTCTTCCAATCTTCAACAAATTCTGATTCCTTTGGGAAATGCCTGTGAATCAAGTTGGGTGCTGCAGGCTCTGAGGCTCTGTTGCAAGCGGTTTATAAGCAAACAATACCAAAAGTGTTCAAGGCAAGAGACTCGTTACAGCCATGCTCATGAATGCCTGACCTATGTTCTCACATTTGAATAGTTTTAAAAACATGTTATTTTATACCAAACATAAGCGTTTCCCTTTCCCTCATAAGCCTTCCTAGATTATTACATATGTTAGGTATTATTTCATAAGTGTATATGAAAGAGAGATGACGGCTCTTTGAAGAGTCAGTTGTTGTTGTTGTTTACAAAAAAAATCCCAGAAAAGATTTTTGCATTTCTGCAACTTTTCAAGAAAAGTACTATAGTAACTTTTCCTCAGGGAAGAAATTTCAAAGACAGATAGTAAGAAAAAAAATCAGTAGACTAAGCTTGCCCAGCCAAGCAGTTAAAGCCAGTTGCTAAGTTAATGAACTTTAGTGAACTAAAATTTAGTTCAATTCTGTAGACTCCATACTATGTTCTTATGCTTGAGTTTCTTCTAAGTTTTAATAATGTTATTGTCATATAATGAGATTTTTAACTATGATGAGACGTAAGTGATGCCAAAATTTAGTAGGTTATGTTGTCTTAGAAAAATTGCTGCAGATCCTAAATATAGCATGCTAAAAGGATCTAATTCTCCTTAGCCAAATTGAATCTACAACCCACCCAAATATCCCACTTCTTAAATTTAGCTTGTAGTCACAGAGGCACAGTCTCTCCCTCTCTCTCTCTCTCTCTCTCTCTCTCTCTCTCTCTCTCTCTCTCTCTCTCTCTCTCTCTCTCTCTGCCTTGGTGGTTTCACAGCCAAAGCTGTCAAGGAATGGGTGAAAAGTAATTGTTTTCAAGTGTGCCCTTTTACAATCATTTGTTTGCTCTGGCTCTTGCGGGGACAAAGGCTATTGTTGAGCACATCCAACTAAACAAATAACTCATCCTGGGTCCCTTTAACAGCTGCCTCAGGACAATGATCTATTTACATATTAGGCTACAATTGAAACTGAACTCTTTAATGACATAATCCAGCACTATAGTCCAGAGGCGCGTGTGTTCTGCCCTACAGCTGAACAGTCTTGTAGACATATGATTTTTTTAGAAATAGCTTTGCTGTGGACCAAGTGATCTTAAGGTGACATCTTAATATACTGTCATGTGTTTTCTACTTTTATCCCTTCATGGATCCCATGTGGGTGCCTCTTTACCCTCTTTGTTTAGTTATGTGATAAATAAAGAGAAATCTAGGGCGTCCCCGCCCCCTCTGTTGATAAGCTGTGGCTGTGGCTTTCTTCTGAATCCCAGCACTTACCTTTCTTCGTAGCTTTCACTTTCACGTGAATGAAGATTTAAGGATGAGCTGCCAAATGTTACAGACGAATGAGCCACAGCTTCAGTCCTTCCCAGGCTGACTGGAATCATGTTTGCAAGTTTTACACTATTTCCAAAGTATATTTAGCTAAACCACTATTACTTGATGACTTTGTATTTGGCTTTTAAAAATTGAAACAGGAAATTAACTTAAATTTCTTCTTAAGATTCATGGCAATGTGAGGCATTAAGTTAAGAACCTGTGTGCCTGACATAGACATGTTGGAGGGGAGAAAGAAAGAAAAGACGGGCGTGTCACCCTCCCCAACACACACCAGTACTCATCTGCCTAAACCAATGTTGTTGCTTGGGTTGAGTCAATTTAATTGACTTCAGTAAGACTATTGGTTCATTGAAAGCAAAGCCAGAATGATGGCTCTATCTATCTTCAAATAGGTGTTTATATTGCAGACCTCACACAGAGTAAAATGTTACCATCCTGCTGGGCCGGAACAGCGTCAAACCCTAACAAGAATAATATTCTACTTGATTTCAGATAATTTATTGAATCCTATTTGTGAAACTTTTGATGAAGGGTCTTGTGGACAGGACATAGTCCAAAATTTGTAAAAGACAAAATTCTGTAGGCACTAAAAGCAAGCTCTTCCTGAAGAGCAGCTGGGAGAGAGCATGGGATCATTCTGTGTCAGCTATTAAAAAAAAAAATAGAAGCACAAA